GGCGCTTTGAAATTTCTTCTTCGCTAATTTCATGGAACAAAAACGATCCCTTTTTGGATCGCATTGTTACATACGATGAAAATGGGTCCTTTACGACAGCAGGAAGAGACAAACAAGTGAACAGTGGTTGGATCGCGTGAAGCTCTTAAACATTTCATAAAGCCAGAGCTGCACCAGAGGAAGGTAATGCTGACTGTTTGGTCTTCCGCAGGAATTATCAACCACAGCTTGCTGGAAACAGGAGAATCTATAACAGCAGCAACGTACGTCCAGCATGTAGAGGAGATGCATCGGAATCTCCAAGCAGAGTCAACCCTGCGTTGCGCAGTTCGCAACGGCACGTTGAGAGATCCTCAACGCACGCTGTATGGGCGGAGACACAGACGGCTCGAGCATGCGAGTGTGAATGTTCGCGCGAGAGAACGTGTCTAATCGGGCGAAACTGCGCAACGTGGCCGTTGAGAACTGCGCAACGCAGGGTTGACTCTGCTCCAAGTCCTGCGCCTAGCATTGGTCAACCGAAGAGGACCGATCCTCCTCCACGATAACGCGCGTCCACACGTTGCACAAAATTCCCTACAAAAATTGATCGAATTGGACTACGGAACTCTGCCTCACCCGCCTTACTCAGCGGACCACCCGCCTACTGGTTTTCACATCTTGAAGCACTTTGATGATCTCTTGCGTGGGTGCTTCGATAACCAGTGCGAGGTGGAAAAGATTTTAGACGATTTCCCCGCCTTAGGAAGACCACAATTTTATGTTGCGAATACAAGCGCTTGTGTCTCGTTGGCAGAAATGTGTAGATTCTAAGTGTTCTTATTTTACTAATAAAGTTAAGAATGAGCTGAGATATAATAGAATGAACTGAGAGTTGTGAATCAGTAATTGCGATTCCGTTGGTGACATTGGATTTGAAATGCTTGATACAGAGAAACTGTAGCACAGCCCGTCCAAGGTCTGACTACTTGCACTTTTGTCTGCAGATGGTCGCTCTACAGCTCGGAAATTGGCTCAAGAGAGGAGTGGCTGCTACGACTAAAGAGTGTTCACTTCGGCGGCAATGACGAGTTGGGTAAATGACCGGGTTGGAATTAGCAGAGAGAGTTCAAACGAGCGGCGCCGTAGAACACTTCATCAAGGTGAAGTCCGACAGCGTCCAGCATTCTACAAAAATGGTCCTTCACGAATGGGCTGGGAGACTTTCTTACATACACCTTATACCCCGACGAAGCGCTTTGAGGCTACTGCCTAAATCGTGGTACACCTCTCAAGATAGCAGTTTCTTTCAAAGGGGGACAAACCTGCCATTTTTGGCAGAAACAAGTAAGAACGGTGGAGAAAATCATAAAAACTAAATCTAATTCCTGTTCTTGTGGGAATAAAAAACAAAACGAAATGGATAAGAGAAAAGCACGACATTTTTGACAACTTATAAGTTCACATGTTGACTCGTCTAACATAAAGAAATCACTCTTAAAAATATGGCTTCTCGTCACTTGAGTGTCGTGTGTTTGTGCATTTCCAAATGTCCAAAAGCATTTACTGGTTCACTTTTTAAATTGTTCAGATGAAATGAGCAAATTTTCTAACCTTTATAGTGACAAAAGAGTAAAATCCTCGTAAACACCCTTGATGTTACTGAGTTTTGTCGGCTCGCCCCGCATCGTCATGTAGGCCAAATCGCATTTGACTACAACTGCGACTCTGAATGACAAAATGCGTGGTGCATCTCACAAGGGAGGTCTTTCAGGGCAAGCCGCGCTTTTTGGAAACGGTTTCTTGCATATTGTTGTAGGGACGCATGTATGGACCACAAAACCATGTTTCGTTTTCGCTGAACGGTTTTAGTAGTACCAAAAAAGTGGTGAATAATACTCTTGATGGTTCAATCCCCCGCGGCGACTAAATTTTGCAATCAAGGTTGGCGGCCACTTGTTGGCTTCAAAATGGTCCTGACGATGAATTTGACATCTGATTTTGATATTTAGCGCGATTTGGCACCAAACCGTAGGCGCCAACCCAAATGCAAAATTTAGTCGCCACGGGGGATCGAACCCTTAAACAGTACCTTATGCTTCTTTTTTGGTACTGCTATAACCGTTCAGCGAAAATGAAACATGGTTTTGCGTTCCCTACATGCGTCCCTACAATATGCACAAAACCGTTTTGAAAAAGCGCACCTTGCCCTGAAAAGACCTCCCTTTTGGTAAGAGCGGTCATTTGAAACGCCAAAACCCACGACCATCAGGTCAATCGTCCGTTCGGACGCAGTTCGAACGGGGGGGGGGTTCGCATTTGGTTTTGGGAGAGAAAATGAACGACAAAAGAAAAAGGGGTGCATTAGGCGTGCTTGGTCATAGCAGGCAGGGTAGAGTGTGTCGTAGAAAAAAGTGAAGAAGTTTTGCGTTTTCAGTCTTGCTGTATTAACCCCCCCCCGGTTTGGGCTGTGTCAACTGGTCTCAGAATCAAATACTATAGAAGAGGGAGAGGTCGCGGTGGGGGAAGGCTGGTTGTATTGGGGGGTCGCAACTGTGTATTGGTGGGGTCGCAACTGGACCCCCTCCAGAGGGGGGGTCGCAAAAATCCCGAAAATGTTCGAACGTGACGGTTGACCCTGCACCAACCAAGCCGGGCTTTTTGGACTTCCTGAAATTTGTCACGAACCCCCCCTCCCTCCCGCCACTTCATCTACCAATTGGTCGCAGAAGTTTTTTTTAGTCGTCGGAAAGGTACGAAAAAATATTTACACGTCAATTGGTCAATTCCCTTCACCTGGCTGGCTTTCATCCCTTGTGGAATACCGACACGCACCAGCACTCAGGAAGTTGACTCTAAAAGCTTTTACATGTTGAATCTTTTTAAATACAAATTTACCATACGACGCTCCTAAAACTGGAGGCTTGAAAAACGTTTACGTTTACACTTTCCCAAGCGTGACGGTAAAGGATAGAGCACTGCTGACTTCAAGTCCTGTAAACCGAAACATATGGATTAATATGTCTGTATGTGGTCCGCCAGGACAGAGAGTGACTTTTCCGCTTCTTGCAGTTCGACTTCTTTTCACTCTTGGCATATTGAATATATTCTTTGTGTATCTTTGTGTATCTTGAATCTTGAGCCTCTAAAATTGGTCAACTTCATTGGGCGAAATATCGGCGTCTTCACCAGAGCCAGAGCCCCAATTCAAAGTCGATATCACCGAGATTTCCACTGTACACCAACGCGCTGACGCCTCCCCCTCCCCCACTAGGGTCAACCGTCACGTCCGCTTTTTTTTCAAAAATTTTGAGACCCGGCTCCCCCCTTTAGTGGGTTCCGATTCGTCTCCCACCACTACCATCAGTCTCAGAAGGCCCCCTGTTTCTCCTGTCTATACCTGTTTCTATCCTATCAGATTGTGTGAGCCCAGTTGACACAGCCCAATTCCGTCCACTTTTTCCTATAAAACTGCCGTCGAGAGCAGGGGGTAGGGGAAGGGGAGAAACTGGTACCATGAAGCAGCAAATCCACCAATTTTGAATAGTTCTAACTACTTTCGTGAAACTTTCACTTAAAATCCGTCAAGAAACCATCCAAGCACAACTCCCTTTAACGTTTTTAACGACCTCCGCCAAGCTTCATTTCCACTATGATATAACCTTGCTCAACCCTTGAAATCCCCCTTCTCGAAAGCACAAATGCAACTCCTCTTTCGAATAGTGCGAATGGGCGGTTAAAGGAATCCTTCCACGGAAAAAGCTCCGCCCTCATTACCACAGAAAACGATACCTTAAAGGAATCTTCCACGGAAAGAGTGATCATTTTGTCTTGTGTGTAGGATTAGTATTATCGAAACTAACGCTTATGTTCCGTTCTTTTTGCTATGCTCATGAGGCTAGGGGCCTAAGGGGTATCGTTTTTCTGTGGTAATGGAGGCGGAGCTTTTTCCGCGGAAGATTCCTTTAACCCTGCCCCCCCCCATCCGGTGGTCCTAATACGACCCCCTTCGTTGGTACTTGTCCAACATACGATTGATCCTGCGCCGATCGCGTGCTCCCATTGACCATTCACGCTCACAATCAGTTATAATCTTGCTCCCTCAAGGAATCTCGCAAGAAAAACAATAGGAACAATTTATCGTATAACTATAATGAAATAGGAGTCAGAAAGCACCGGCATGATTAGAAATCGAAATCCAGAACGGCCACGGGAAGCAAGAATAAGGAGGCCGTGGAGGCCGCTCGAACGAAGACAAAAGGGTGAGCTGAAGTGAGCATCGAATAGATATTATAGATCGGCATTCAATAAAATAACAAAGCCTATTATGTAGACCCATCTAACTGATTTGAAAAATCCTAGGTACAAGGAGAATATCATTCAGAACAGATTTCTGAGGAATGATGACCAAGATAGCTGATGACAACAGTGGTCTTCTGGAAGTGAAAGGAGAGCAGTGAACGATCAGCCGTCATGCGTAGAGCTTTGCACCAGTCACCGAATAAGCTACGCTACCAAAGTGCTAGAAAAAACTCTAAAGAACAATTTGTGGCCTCAAAAGGGACACAATCAGAAATTTTTAGTCTCTTGCCCTCCTTTCGGTTTTCTGTCCTACATGAACGCGTCTTGACCCAAGTCACTTCGTCCCGTGTTCATATATCGGAGAACGTTCCGATTATCGGGAAATCCTCGCTGGTCTAGTTCCTCCGTCGACGTGGTTCAATCTGGTAGGAGAGCTCCATCAACCTCCGCTGATTATCGACGACGCGAAAGTTTCGGATGAAATTCTGCGTCTCGAAAATCTTCTTCGATTCTATCTGTGGTACTGGAAACAAACCATTTGTATACGCACTTTCTCTGAGAATCCAAACCAGTGACTCACCAGGCGTATCGTGACTTGCACTGCCGGAATGTTCGGAGAATAGTGGCAATCATGTGCTGAAAAAGAGTCATCACCAATTGCAGCATGTAGGAAACCTCATTCCACATCACTCACCATTTTCTCGAAGTTCACGAGTCCATTATAGTAAGTCTTGTTGCCTTCGTGAATGAACGTCAAATCCTTCAGAAAGAAGCGGCACGAACGGTATCAGAGGTGACGACATCTTAACAAAGTAACTATCATCAAAAAATACTGATCATGTAATGAGTAGAGTTATTACGAATCAGCCTAGCGAATCGGGCTTAATGTTAGTTGGTCATCGTTCAATCGGAAGGAGTCACGCATTCGACTCCCAATTGTGTATGCTCACCAGGGAAAGTCTTTCAGGGCCTGCCCCGCTTTTTCAAAAATATTTTTATTCAATATATAGGGACACGTGCATGGAGCATGAAACTATACTTGATTTTTCGAGGGGCCCTCTAAACGCCAAAAGGGGATGAAATATTGGTTCACGGTTCGATTCCTCGTGGTGCACAAAGTTTTAACTATGTGACGACGCTTGCTTATGATATCGTGAATTGATTACGGTCGGGTTAGTAAGGTGCCATATCACCATCACGACATCAAGTGATCTGTAAATGGCAGAATTTATCTGGTAACCTGTGTCTAAAAGCGCTTGCTTTTTTACCGGTCCGATGGTGTTGTGCAAATCGTAGATGCTGGTTAGGAAAATCGTATTTAAATATTTCTAGCTTCCATGCCACTACATCATGCAAAAAAACCGTTTTTGAAAAGCGGGGCGGGGCGGCTTGGGAGACTTTATGGGTCAGAACCGTTCTATGGAAGCCCCACCTACCGTGTCCAAGCCAGGGCTTCCACCCCTACCAAAGTCGTTGCACAGTAGCAGCAGGTTGGTGGTAGAGGGCTCGCCTGCTCTCTCTGTGCGAGGGACAGTGCGATCCATAGAATGCGAAACCAACTGCGACGATTTTTCTGCTATTATTATTCAAAGTTTATGCACTAGCAGAGTTCCTTCATGGTTCTAATTTATTTCTGCGGATAACGGCATCCTCTATCGCCTGCATGTATGAAAACAACTTGGAATTAGTCATATCCTTCGACTTTCAAGGGATACGTCATTACTAACGAGTCGAAACTTCATCTACGAACACTGGCATCTGCGGAGCGGATGAATATAATCCGCAGTTGCGTTGGCCATGTGCAAGCTTGATATGGCACTATGGAATGGTACCTTTCATCCCGTTATACGTTAAAGGAATCTTGCGCGGAAAAATCATGATTCTATTTCAGCCATAAATCACTGGCTTGAGACTCATTATCCACGATAATAGTGAAAAGAACTGAAGTATTGCTTTCGTTTTGATTAGAAATTCGAAAACTCGAAAAGGCTGCTACGCGTTCGAATTGCCCACGGACGTCTTTCACGAATGCTGGCGACGGGGATGCTCAAACTTGGTTCTTGGAGTGCATTCACTAGAAGCTCTTTCTGGCCTTCTGCTTCGTTGCATTCACATCTTACACTTCTACTCCATCCTATTCCATCGATCGATTTGTCTCCACTCTCCGAAATCGCGCGCTTTAACCCGATTCTCTCATTGCGTCGCCTGGTACGTAGCCGGCCAAACGCCGTCTTCTTTCCATGCCTCGCCTGGCTCTGCCTCCTGGTCCTTCGATGGTCCATAACGTGTAGTTTTTGTACGTTTGTTTCTCTTCAGAAACCGAATCTTCATGCGTGAAACTTTGTGTGCTATTTCCAGTGATCACAACTGACATATTCATGTTAGGAAAGAGTGCAAGAATTTTCCGCGCAAGATTCCTTTAAGCACCACTTTTCATCACCATAAGACCTTCTAATGTGATGAAGAGACCATCCTAACCCCCTCTCCGGTCTGGAATGGTCCTAAACCCTTTAATTGAAACCTCAGAAGAAGGCCAGGGCATAGTGAGAGCAGTCAGCAGAGTACAGTCAAGCACTTGCAGAATAGGTTACAGTGCATATATAGTAGACACACGAGTTCAAAATCCCAGGTTATTCGGCTACTCATTGTAGTATCAATCACAGCTTGTGTTAGCTCATGCCTAATTGGTGAATAGAGGTATTATATGCCATTGTATAATAGCAAAGCGAATACCTTGGCGACAAGGGCACGGTAGGGGCGGTGATTCCGTGATGGGTCCAACAGCGATTCGAATTCGGCGAACTGCCGACGGAGCTTTGCTGGAAGGCGCTGGAAGGGATAACGTTACGAAGGAGCATAGATAATCGGGATTTATTGGCATTAGCACTGCGTCAGACCGCAGAAAACATTTTTCTGTTTTTCAATTTGATTTTCAAAACGTTGTGTCTGACTTTCTAACTATTTCTCGTGTTCCGGAATACTCTGAAATAATAAGAAAAGAATGCATTTGGCATTATTGAGAAACGATCACTCACTTCCCAGAGATGTGCGAGTCGGCTGACAGCGATGTTGCTGAGACCCAGAGTGATGGCAAATAGAGGTCATCAAGTCCCGATTTTCCTTTGCACTAAACTCCAGACAATCAGTTAAGAAAGAGCAGGAAGCCCCTTTATAAGGAGAAGTTCACTTACTACATGGCAATTTTGATGAACTTCCGAAGGGTTGTGACGCGCTTTTGTGGCAGCGCTAACAGCACCTCGGTTGTGGCCCAGTACTGAACCTCGTTGAATCTGAAACAAGAGACAAATTATTGAATACATACGCGAGTGGGCATGGACTTCAGTAGCTCACCTTCGCATAAGAAGGTCCAGATTCGAGGGCACTCGTCCGGGAAATTGGTCTCTTCCAATCACTTGAGTCACCAATTCGATCTCGTCTGTTGCCTGAAGAAAAATACAAAGTTGTCAAATATCAAAATTCTTCGACATTGCTTTGCAAGAGGTGGTGGGGGGGGGGTGGCTGCATGGCGCCGTAATTATGGAGAGGAAATAGAAATGACCTGAGGCAAGGCATTGTGCACGACACAACGAATAGTCAGTTGTAAATTCACATTTGAAGGCATGTTCCGCGATTACAGATATGCTTGGGTGTTGCGGGTCTGCGAGCTAATAAACTCTATCCCTACCGCCTTAATGGTGATCTCGCCTGGGCTCTTTGTCTCAACAATGGCTCACCAATACTGTGATCCCACACATTCAAACTTTTACCACACTGTTATTGGCTCATCCTCTTCTCCAAGGCGTGGTCTTATGGCTCATCTAACTCCTTAGGAATTAGGGTTTAG